CAATCTAATGCCATCTTTTTGAAAATTTTGTTTCTCAAATAGTACCAGCTCTGGCTATTAGGAGAGCTATGAGAATGACTTGCTTGTTTTGTCAACAAGTTTCCATCTTTATTTCAGCATCTCCTTATTTTCTGGCACCACAAGATGTTCCAGGCTCCCCCTGCATCTTCTCTTCCCCAGTCTTGGAATCAACCACTTCTCTAAAAAGTCCTGTTTCGTTCTCTTGGAGAATGGTTCTAAAAACCAAAGATCATGTGTCAGGTATACTAATTGGTACTAGGGTAAAACCACTTGTAGGCCCTTTCAGTTGACAAAGCAAGGACATACGTGTGTATATTAACTTATGCAGATGCACACACAGATCTATGTTTTTTATGTAACCGTAGCTTCATTTAAAAATATGAATTTATATTAATACCTCTAATTCTAATCCATCGCTACAAGGTTCATTTTAGCCAAATACTTCTTTCTCCACCAGTGATAAAACTAACTCACATTATCTACAACCTAGATGATTTTACTTATTTGTTCAATTCTAATGTGCATATTAAATAGTTTTAGAATTAATAACTTCTATGCCTGAGAGGATAACATTTACTAGATTACTACAAATTATTGTGTGTATCTTTTTTGTCCTTATCTTTACAGTATCCAATCAATATTGTTGTTTAGTTACTTAAGTTAACTTTTATCTTCCTTGATTTCTTCAATGTTATTATGTTATTAATTTAATATAGCTTGGTTTATTTGCTAGTGCTCATATTCCATTTTGGATCCCCATTTCTATTGGTTTTAGTAGTTTGTTTTGCTGGTATATAAAGCATTACTGTAATTGTAAGAGCCAGAATTATATGAAAAGGTATACAAAAAAAGTCACTCCTTTCTTCCCCTCTCATGTGCTCATGCATGCACATGCAAATATTCCCCTCTTCCCAGGCCTTCTTCCCATTCTGCCCTCTTTCTAACTTTTTTATTCTCACCCACCTTCCATAGGTAACTTAACCAAACTCTTCAGTTTTGGTTTATCCTTCCTGTATTTTTTTTTCTATGAATGGACAGAAAATTATATGTTTTCTTTTATCTTCTTCTTTCTCAAACAAGGGGCATTATTATACTATGAATACTTGTTTGTCCTTTTCCTAATCACCTAAGTATACATCACATATCCTGGAATTCACTCTATATTATTTCATAGAGATCTTCCTCGGTCATTGTTTTAGCTGCATACTACTCCACTGTGTGAATGTTCCCTGATTTATTCAACCATTTTCTTGTATGCACATTAATGTTTTAAACATCTTACAATTTCAAACAATATTGCAACAAATAACCCTGGGTATGCATCACATCATTTTTATTGTTGATTTAAATAAAAAGAAAAATACTGTTTAAGTTAACACATAGTACCTTTATCTAGTATAATGTTCCTCTTTCCCAAACTCTCCTTAATAAAACAATAATGGAAACATCACACCAAAATAACAATGTTCAGATTTAAGCACTTGGAATCCAGAATTGCGTAGTAAAAGGAATTAAGGAGCCATCTTTCCTTTCCTTTCAACTTTTCTACAAACCACATTCTTTCTCTTAACATAGTTGGTACATGACCACAATAGAAATGATCACAATGGCCCCCTATTTTCGATCACTCGGAGTTACTTAAAAAGTGTCAATGATAGGAAATTACTTTCTTAGCCCTTTAAAAAATGGCACACTTGAGACTATTTCATGATTATAAATTACATGAGGAAGACATACCATACTCTAGACATATTAGCTTGTACAGTAAGAAACATCTTTTACATGAGGACAGAGTTGTGTACATAATTAAAGCTACATACAGTGAGCTCTGGTGTTTTATATTATATTCCAATTCATTTTTAAAAATTAGTTGTACACAATAAAATTGATTTCATAATTTTTGATGTTTGGTCAGACCTGCAGTCTAAAAAACTCTGATCAATAAAAGCACATGCTTTGAAGTCAGACCAATGTGTGCTGGCATCTGGGATGTACCTCTTACCAACAGTCTTATCAAGAGAATGTCTTACCTCTTTTTCATTTTCTCTTGCATAGTACAGTAGCCAATAGATCAAATCAATAATTACTATTAAGAATGATAAAATGAGATAAGGAATGGAGATGCTATAATGGATGAGACAAGTAGTCCATAGGAAGTCAAGTTTCTGTCCACCCTCTATAAGTGGAAAATAATGAATCACTGGATGCGAACTTCAGTTAATGGCTTTTCTCCTTCTTGAGCCCACTATAGTGGCCCAGTCAGGCATGAATCCAAGGAAGTCAGGATTGGACTAATAGGATTAGACTAATGCTACCCTCATCCTCCCAACATGTGGTCATACCCAGCAGGCAAGTCAAGAAAATCTCACAGGCAAGTTCTCTAGTGAAAGGGGCAGTAGTTCCCAAACTTGGCTAAACATGGAATGGCATGAGAAACTTGTTAAATATTCAGATTCTGAGGACCCACTGGAGAATTATTAGATAAGAATAATTTGAGAGCTCAGAATCTGTATTTAAAACACATACATGAGCATGCATGAGCACACATGCCAAGTTCTGATATCGCCAGCCTCCTGGCAGATCTATAAGTAAAGCCTGTTAGTATTGCTCCCATTTCATCATTAAAAAGTGTCAGATAAATGCTTGATTTAATGGTCACTCTTCGATGTCTTCTTTAAGTGTGCCAAATCATTTTATCTATCAGAAAATACACTGCACCATAGGGGACAAACATAAGTGAATTGAAAGTTCACAGAATTTGGAGTTAAAGTCCCTCCAAGAAGTGAAGAATATGTAAGATAAAGTGAGGTATTTGAAAGCAAACTTCAAGGTGCTATGCAAATTTTAGCCATTTACAGGAGCAGTTATGGTTGTCATAACAGATAGGTAGAAGCCGGCTCGGTGGCTCAGCCTGTAATCCCGCGCCTTTGGGAGGCTGAGGTGAGTGGATTGCCTGAACCCGCAGGTTCGAGACCCGCCTGGGCAGCGAGACCTCATCTCTACAATAAATCAAAAAATCAGCCGGGCATGGTAGCGCATGCCGGTAATTCCAGCTACTCGGAAGGCTGAGGCGGAAGGATCGCCGGAGCCCAGCAGGCGAGGCTGCGGTGGCGGGGAGCAGCCACTGCACTCCAGTCTGGGCGACCGAGTGAGACTCCAACTCAAAAAAAAAAGATAGGTAGGTATACTTCCATTCTAAAATCAAATGTCCATGTAACATCAAATGCCCTAGTCTGCTTTGGAGATTTATCCACCTTACTTTTTATTTCAGTAAATGCAAACAGGCAATTTTATTTTTGCACTAGCTTGCACTTGTTAGATTGAAAATGTTTACACATTACAGTCATGTCGATAATTTACATCACTTTTATACCAAATTCAGCATTCGTTTTATGTAGGACTGCTTTGAATCATTTCATTCATGATGTATTAAAGTTCTGTATTTTATTTATTTCAGTGGTAGGGATTGCATCTGTGGAGAAGATTTGGGGCAATGAAACTAAAGTTTAAGGTGATATCCAAATGCCATGTTACAATCAGCCACATTCACAGAACAGTATTGTAGCACTTTGTAGTACTAGACAAAATTCTATCTTACATCCCTAGTAGGTGGTTTTTTAAAAGACGATTTCAACCAGACTGATTTTCAGAAATAATTATTTTGGTTGGGTTTTCATTGTCAATCTATACTCTTCCTTGTTGGGGCAACTACCTAAACAAATCCACTGTTTCATATATTGGTCCAAGGATGTCTTCAGAGGGCAGTGACTTAGCTTAGATAGTCTCTCAAAGTTCTGCTTCAGAGATCAAAATTTGTATTTTTATTCAATTTCTACATGTCACTTACTTTCTTTTTTATGAAGCACTGGGCCATGATCTTCATGAGGATTGAAACATATATGGTGAGTGGACTAGTCATTCAACAGCTATTCATTAATAACAGGGTCTAGTTTTCTCTAATACTGGGAATAGATGTTTCAATCTACATTTCTTCTTCATTTTCCCTTATGATCAAAGCTCGAATTTCAACTCTAACCTAGTATATTACAATTTGGTCCTGAAACATACTCCAAAAGCACTCAGCAAGGTTAAAGAAAGACAAATGCTTCAAAGTAGAGTGGCCCTTCACTTCCAGTGACTTTATAGACATCATATTTGAAATTTAATGTTTTTTCATCTCTGAACCCGGAATATATTTTGGACTCCCCTTCCTTCCCAAGTACCCTGGATTCAAGGTATCTCAACCCATGGAGCAGTTGTCCAGAGGAAGAGAGAAGCAACGGCCCCGCCCCCAACCCTTGGGAGCAGAAAGAGAATTATCCAAACGAATTGTTTAAAAACTCAGGTGAAGCGGACAGAAATAAAACCATGGCTACATAGATTGATGTCCCAGGGGTCCAAAATTTAGCCCTAAATGGGCAATAATTTGTTTGACGTTAAACTAAACCAGTTTGATGAACTCAAATGCCCTCGGCTCAATAGGCAGGACTCTCCGAGGAGCCTGTGTTACTTCCCTCACTTAAGTGCAGATTTGTAATAAAAATCTTAATGCCAGTGGCATGTTTTTTGGACAGGTAAGAAGCTAACCACTTGGAGAATCATATTTGAGAGGTCAAAAAACTCCACAGCTAAAGATCGGTTTATAATTTACGAAGAAAATAGAAAGTTTTGTTTCCCTGAGTTGAATTTTGCCAAGCACGGCGGGAAATATTGCCAGTTTTTGGCACAAGGTTTTGTTCTTTTCTTATAATTTGAGATCCTCTTGAAGCCTGAGGCTTCGGGGATCATTATCTGGGAAAAATTTGGAAGTTCGGTGTTGAGAATTTTGATATTTTTGGCTTTTTTTGAGGTGTAACAAACACAACTCTGGATCGGAGAGGACACTCTGCGGCTGCCAGCGAGGCGGGCTGGACAGCGCACCAATCACGGCGCAGCTCCGCCCTATATAAACGGGCGGGCGCAGCGCCGCGGCCCGAGTCCCGGCCAGTGCCTCTGCTTCCGGCTCGAATTGCTCTCTCTCACGTCTGCCTTCAACATGTCCGAGACTGCGCCCGCCGCGCCCGCCGCTCCGGCCCCTGCGGAGAAGGCACCCGTGAAGAAAAAGGCCCGCAAGTCCGCAGGTGCGGCCAAGCGCAAAGCGTCTGGGCCCCCGGTGTCCGAGCTCATTACCAAGGCTGTCGCCGCCTCCAAGGAGCGCAGCGGCGTGTCTTTGGCCGCTCTCAAGAAGGCGCTGGCAGCCGCCGGCTATGACGTGGAGAAGAACAACAGCCGCATCAAGCTTGGTCTCAAGAGCTTGGTGAGCAAGGGCACGCTGGTGCAGACCAAGGGCACCGGCGCCTCGGGATCCTTCAAACTCAACAAGAAAGCAGCCTCCGGAGAAGCCAAGCCTAAAGCTAAAAAAGCAGGTACGGCCAAGGCCAAGAAGCCCACAGGAGCGGCAAAGAAGCCTAAGAAAGCGGCGGGGGCGGCCACCCCTAAGAAGAGCGCCAAGAAGACCCCAAAGAAGGCGAAGAAGCCGGCCGCAGCTGCAGGAGCCAAAAAAGCGAAAAGCCCGAAAAAGGCGAAAGCAGCCAAGCCCAAGAAGGCGCCCAAGAGCCCAGCGAAGGCCAAAGCAGTGAAACCCAAGGCGGCTAAACCAAAGACCGCCAAGCCCAAGGCAGCCAAGCCAAAGAAGGCGGCAGCCAAGAAAAAATAGGAAGTTTTGGCCAACTGCTTAGCTCAACACAACCCAAAGGCTCTTTTCAGAGCCACCCACCGATCTCAGTGAAAGAGCTGTTGCATTCACAGGGGGCGTGGCTGGGAGTAAACGCCACCAAAGAGGGGCGGGCATCCCGGGAGCGGAATGGGTTTCATCAATAGTCAATAGTTGAGCTTCCTCGATAGATCCGCGAGAAAAAACGGGCAACATGACGTGCTGCTCTGCCGGACCTCCAAGCATACAATACGGTGCGCCCGCGCTTTCGCTGACTGGAGATCGCTTAAGCTGGCAACGGTGCGCGGTAAGGCAGGCAGCAGACTATAAACCCCAGGGTTAAAAAAGGATACCGATGTGTCTAAGTGCTGAATTCGATCCCAAGTGTCATGGTTTCTAAGTAACTGACTACAGAAGGTTAACTTGCTATGGAGTTGAGCTGTCTAGGAATAAGGTGCTAACTCCACAAGCCTAAAAAATAGTTCATAATGAAAAACACGCTCTGCGGGAACTACACAGCTGTCTTGCTTGAAGAGGCCTATTTATAGTAGCTTCGGGTAGTCTAGTCTGGTCTTTCTGATTGGGTCAAAGTAAAGTAACAAAGCAGCCAATGAAAATATAGTATTTTAAGTGTCGTTTACATTGGTATTTGTGACGACATTCTAAAACAGTCCAATCACAAACGACATCTTATTAGCCTCATTTGAATATTGCGTCTATAAATGAACGTGGGCTCGCTGGGGATGAGTTTCCTGTTAGGTGTTTGCAACAGTGTCTCATTTTTTAGTGCTACAATGCCCGAACCCACCAAGTCGGCCCCTGCCCCAAAGAAGGGTTCCAAGAAGGCGGTCACCAAGGCGCAGAAGAAGGACGGCAAGAAGCGCAAGCGCAGCCGCAAAGAGAGCTATTCCGTGTACGTGTACAAGGTGCTGAAGCAGGTCCACCCCGACACCGGCATCTCGTCCAAAGCTATGGGCATCATGAATTCCTTCGTCAACGACATCTTCGAGCGCATCGCGGGGGAGGCCTCGCGCTTGGCGCATTACAACAAGCGCTCGACTATCACCTCCAGGGAGATCCAGACTGCGGTCCGCCTGCTGCTTCCAGGGGAGCTGGCCAAGCACGCCGTGTCCGAGGGCACCAAGGCCGTCACCAAGTACACCAGCTCCAAATGAATTCGTCAAGTAAGCATTTTAACACCTAACCCCAAAGGCTCTTTTCAGAGCCACGCATGTCTTCAACAAATGAGTTGTAATCCTTTCATTCTAGTCCAAAGGATACTTAGATTTGTCAGCACCACATTTAGAACTACGTTACCAATATTTGGTGTACAGTGTTGCGGAGTGAAGTACTTGTGAAATACGGAGAATAACAATAGCTGCCAGAAACAGAGTTTTCACTATGGTCACGTACAGCTCATTTAGTGTCACAAAACTAGATACTAACTAGCATAGCCTGAAAAATGTCTTTAAATGTGCAGCTTTTCGTTTCCGTGTGTAGGTTTCCAAGTTGATTGCGATGTTGATCCGGGACTCCGTTGTGACTGCTCGCCCTGAGCACAAAAGAGCATGCTCTAACTACTCATTTATTTTGGTAGCTTCCCTCCCCACCCCCATTTTCTTAAAATTGTTACCAGCCGGGCTGGGAGGCTCAGCTTGTAATTCCAGTACTTTGGGAGACTGAGGCCAGTGAATTGACGGAGCCTGCGGGTTCGCGACCGCCCGGGCAACTTGGCGAGACGTGGTCTTTACAGTTACAAAAAAAAAAAAAAATAGCCGGGCGTGGTAGCGCGCGCCGGTAGTTCCGGCTACTTGGAAAGCTAAAGCAGAAGGATCGCCGGAGCCAAGCAGGACAACGCTGGGGTGGCCGTGAGTTTGCCACTCAGCCTGGACGACAGAGATGCCAACTGAACAACAACAACAACAAAAATTCCTGCCATGTAGATATGCAATACTACAACAAGTCTGGAGATAATGTGACATTTTACAGAAATAATACAGTTTTCTGGTTTCCTTGCTTTGCATTTGGGCCAATTTCTGTATAAGGCTCAGTAGGCAAGCAGGGGAGGGAAAGAGGGATCCTGTATTTTAGCTAGAAGGTTCCGAGGTAAAAAGGAAGCAGTACGAGACACCTTCAAATTCTGTCAGTTACTGTATCTTCTTTTTCAAAAAGTCTTTTTAAATTTATAGTCTTGGCAGTTTTCAGCTTAAAAGTCCTCTGGGTAACAGAAAAATCAAATAGACAATTCTTTGAAGTTTCTAACTGCAGACCGAGACACTCCCCATACCCCCCACCCCCTCACCCCACCCCCATCCCCCTGTATAGTTCCCGCTTTCCTGGATGTTCTTGAGTGCCAAGGACAAGAGGGAGAAAAAAGAAAGAAAACCCCTTAGGGCAGGATATGACTTCTGCTGCAAAAGGGAGGATGATGACGTAAAAGGTTTTCATTGCTGGGGAATGGATGATCATGGGAGAAAAAAGTCTAGGAAAAGAGACTGGAGGGAGCTTGGAGGGAGTGACCAAAAGGAAAGGTATCAATGCTTCAAACAAGAAATTGTGAGGTGGATGAGGCTAGGTTTGGAGTGAAGTACTGGCTGAAATAGAGAATTTGGATGGTGGATAATAGATAATTGCCTGAAGGAATGAATTTAGAAATTTCAGTTTCCAAAATACCATTAAAAATCAACATGGATTCATAGATTTTGGCACTTAAAAGCCTGCATAATATTTTTAAAAATTCTTAAAAGCAACAAAGAGTGACTAGGAATGTAAGGAACTCTGGTTCAGGGACTTGGCCTGTGTGAAACCTTTAGCACTACAGGTGGTGGCTTTTACTCAAACCAGAGCCTTGGTTTTTAGGGTATTGTATGGAAACTGAGCAGGATGTGGAGCCTGTTAAGAAATCTTTTCCAGTGAAGCGGAAACACCTGACGAAAAGTTACCTCCTCAGGGTAGAAAACTAAACTCTGGACATAAGCACACACGCAAAAACTCACTACAGATAATAGCAAAGAAAAGAATCGGTTCTAAACTTGGATGCTGAATAGGGTAGATTCTACCCCTTAGGGATAAACTACAGGCCAACCTGAATGCTTACCTGTTCCTGACATAGGGATTCAAAACAGCCAAGATAAGAACTTTATTTAGGTATATTTCAGACTGGTTTTGTTCCCCCTAAGCACCTGGAAGAAGCAAATACCCATCATCTCTGGAAGAACAAGCTTCATTTTAGGCATCACTCAATCCTTACAGATAAATATATATTTATATATATTTTTTAAATGAGCAACTTCACAATCAAAATTAACCAAACACACCATGAAACGGAAGAATGACCAAGTACAAGAGCAACAGACCGGGGAGACACCCCTTATCAACAAGGGTGCCTGAACGAAGCATATTTGTTTACCTAACCTTAGACTGTACCCCACAATATCAAAATAAAAAATGTTGTTATTAAAAAAAAGAGCACGGACAATGGCAACAAAAGGAGTGAAAAGAAGGAATTAACAGATACAGACTTGAAATACTAACTTTAATGTTAAAAAAAAAAGAACTGTTCAAAATTTGTTAAGAGGCTAAGAAAATACAAATAGTGACCGCACAGATTTGAAAAAAGAACCTAACAACAATTCTAGAAAATAAACACATATAACTATTTAAATGACAGAATTAAAATTAAATGCTTACTTGAATAGGTGTAACAACCAATTGGACCTAGAATAAAAAAAAAATAATGAATTATATAACCAGATCTTAAAGAATCATCTAAAATGCAGAAAGAATAATGTATAAGTGAGTTTAAGAGATCTGGAATTTGACATGGATCTAATCAAAATACCAGAAGGACAACCAAAGAAGATGATGCAGATATGAGATTTAAAAGATCATGGCTGAGAATTTTCTAGATCTGATGAGTTACTCATACAATTAAAAATACATAGAGTTAAAAATGATACCAAAAAAGGGGTCACTATGTGACGCTGAATTATGCTCTATATATTCTTGCAACAAATGTAATACTGATTTTCATAAGACTGTGCCTTCTATTCTATATTAATACATGGCATCAGACTAAAGCACTGTTTGAAATTTTCCATGTGAAAACATAATTGGGCAATTCATTATTTACATGTGTTTTGTATCTAGCTAACTATCATTTTCTATTGATGTTAATTAATATCTAGTGGACTGTTGATTTTAATTGCATATAATACAACTATTAGCAAATAAAAATGTTGAAATCTTCTTTCCAATAACTATTTATTAGTTGTTATTGTGTTAGCTACAATCACAAACAATGTCATATTAGACATGCTAGCAGGCAATGACTTCTTTTTTTTGCAGAAATGGCTTTGGTAGTTTATGATTTATAATATTTGCTTGTGTGAGTGCATGTGTGTACACCCAAGTATATGTAGTCTCTTTCTCTTTCTCTCTCTTTTTTTTTTTTTTTTTGTAGAGACAAGATCTCGCTATGTTGCCTAGGCTGGTCTCAAACCCCTGGGCTCAAGCAATCCTCCCACCTCAGCCTTCCAAAGTGTGTATAGTCTTTATTGTATTGATGTAGTTTTCTCCTCTTTTATGAGTTTTTATTAAGAATAATTTATGAATTTTATACAATTATTTATTAACATCTGATGAAATCATGTGCTTTTTCTTTTTTAATGTGTTGCAGTGAAATATAGATAGATTTTGTAATATTAATCCATACTTTAACTCCTAGGCCAAATAAATCTATTTGGTCATTTTATATTATTATTTTAAATAATGACTAGATAAATTTTGTTAATATTTTACATGGATTTTTTTTCCCATTTCTATTTACATGAAATAATTCCATGATTTTATGTTTTGGATTTACCTTTATCAGGTTTCATCATTAAGATTATGGTAACTTTATAACATTAATTTTGGGACTCTGCATCTCTATTAGTTATTTATTGCTATATAACAAATTACACCAAAATGGAGAAACTTAAATCAATGATTATTTGATATCTCACTTAATTTCTTCAGGTCAGAAATCCAGAACTGACTTAAGCATAGTTTGTAGTCAGCCAAATCCTTGACTGTTGCTGGAAGATTCTCTTATAATATGGTGTACTCTTATATATGGCAAGGCTTCAGTTTCTTGCCACTTCAACCTCTTCAGAAAACTTACTGTATTCAAAATGTGGCAGCTGTTATCCCTTAGAAAGACAAAATATAGAAAGAGAGGAAAGAAAGAAACACAATCCTTTTTGTTAAAAGCTTCAAAAGTCACACCCTTCTATGACATTCTATTGTAATGACTAGGGTTAACCTTTTCACGTAAAAATAGTAAAAATAATTTTGGGCATATTTTAAACCACTACATTAAAAAAAATACTTGAATGTAAAAAGTATTCATGCTTTAAAGACTAGATAGAAATCAGCTGTAAAATCACCTGGATCTAATACATTTATTTATTTATTTATTTATTTATTTATTTATTTATTTAACGTGTGAAAGCAGGATTTATTGAGAGGACAGAAAAGGACCCAAAGGGATTGCCCCAGATCTGATACCTTTATTAATGGTAGACCTTTAAAAAAATTTTGACAACTTAGACTACAATTGACCACTATCCACAGAGACAAAAACTAATAAAATCCCCATGTGGTTCCCAGATGGACTTTTTCCTGAGGTAATAAAAGACAAAATAGTGCCCCTACAACTTACATAAAACATTAGCCCAGCTACAGAGCGGGTACTTTTAAAATATATATATTAAATTAATTAATTTGAGAAATCCTAAACTATAATTTGTAAAGGAATTCTCTAATGCATGATTGTTGTTAGAATATCCAACAAATATGTTTTGCCTTTTTGGGAAAAAAAAGTGTGTGTGTGTGTGTAGTAGAGTATGAAAATATGAAAAATAGTATGAAAAAAGAAATTAATAACTTTAAAATAAAAAAATTTAGCTATGAAAGATTTGTAAGGAAATTGCTGGGCACTGGATTGAACACTGGTGATACAAAGAGGTAAGGTGTTCCTTGACCTCCTGGAGCCCTCAGTCAAAAAGACTTATAGGCAATTGTTTTCATTTTCCTTTACCTTTCACAAAGGCCTAAAAAAGTATTTCTCATACCTTGAAAATCACCAGGCAAGTGTATGAATTTGGACTTACATAAGAACTACCAAACTCAGTGCATTGTTAAACATATTTATTTAAAATTTTGAGGAATACCAAAATGAGTAATGTTAATATTATTTTGTTTAAAATGTTGACAATGAA